GAAGTAAGCCAAACACTTGTACAATAGCAACCATGAATAATTGTTCGATTGTGAGAGTAACCTTAATATCCAAGGAATCCTAGGATCAATCTAGTCGATCCTGTGAGTTACCAGAGAGATTGAATAACGTTAAGAAAGATTATTCGATAGTTTGGAAGACTAGCGGTTGTTTACCAGAAATCACTGGAAACAGTATCTCATTCATTTCTCTATGAAAATTCAAAATGTAAACATCAAAGTTCAAGAATAAAATGCATGGAATGCAATATGATCAAGAATTTCATGAAATGATGCATGAATCATAGAGAAATTAGAGCGTGAAAGTTGTTGCATGAACATGATTTCAATTTAAGCAATTCATCAAACTGTTTTCATATTCAATTATCTTACTCGATTCTCAACCAAATAAAATGATCCAAACATCAAAATTCATCACAAAATAACAAGGAATATGATGATGCTTATGGATTTTAAAAATGAAGCAATATCGAAGAACAAAGAGAGAACGAAGTCATGCATCATGCAATTTTCACATAACTTGCAGAGCATAAATCAAGCAATAAATCTCACAAGTTCATACATCAGATATAAGATCTTGCTAGTCAAACACACATAAACAAAATATGATACATTGAATCAAGCTAGCATGAGAAGAATCCAGATCTAAAAAATCACCTCAAAAAGTGAAAAATAAATTCACTTATGCCTCTGAACAAATGAAAAGAAACCCGTCTGATCTTGCTTCTTGAACTTCAATGAAGATAAATTGATGAATATGAGAGCTCTGGAGCAAGAAATAAAGAGTAGCTTCGAAGGAAAATTGGAAGAGTGAAGAGAAAAATTCAACAGTTTGTTGTGAGTGAATGAGAATTCCTCTCGGGAATGAAGAATCTCCTCTCTAATTAGAGTGAAGAAGAGTTTATATAGAGTATGGAAGAGTTTGAGGAAGTTTCCTTGAGGGCAAAAATGGAAAACGAGAAAAGGTGAGAGTGAGGTGGTGTGATGAGCATGCTGTGTTTTTGAGTGTGAAAGATATAATGCTGGCTGCATTTTGATTAGAGGAAAAATAAGGGGATACATGTAAATGGATGAGCTGGCAGGTGCAAGGGGTGATTGGAGAAAAGTTTCCTCTTTTGGAAAAAATTGGAGGAATATGTATGCATGCTTTATGTTCATTGCTTGCTTGATTTGGAAATATGAATGATGAGATAATGATGTGTGTAATGTGCATAGGGTACATGATAAACATCATGCAACATAATTTCTATCATGCACAAGAATTCATGTCTGCCGTGTTATACACCTTTTGGACTAGCCATGACAAATTCATTGTATCTCTATTTTCCATCATGCGTTTCTTGTGAAAATGGAACCTTTGGAAAGTTCTCATGATGAGCAACAACATTGTAGTTGATGGAAATGAGAAATGAGGCTTGAAATTGGGTGAAAAGTTGACATGAAGTTAGTGAAAACTTGAATCTTGCCAGCCTGGCACACGCGTGATGCAGGAAGACATTGCATGACAAGGAAGCTTTGAGATCTTAACTTTAAAAGATCACATATTTCTCAATAATAATCAAAATGAGGTAAACAAAAAAGAAAATTGTATCTTATACATCCAATTACAACTTCCTTTTGAATCGCTTTTTCAATTGAAGCTTAAATCAAGAGATAAAGCATCGTGAACATGGGCGCCAAATGTTTGATGTAATGAATGGCGTGATGCACGCGCAGGCATGCCTTCTGGTTAGAAAAAACACCACATGATGCTCTTAAGTTCACATCCCTACAACTTTCTCCACAATGCTCAAACTGAAACCTTGAACCAAAATTGAAGGGAACACAATAATCTCCAACTTTGATGTTCAAACATTTTTGAAATTATAATTAATTCAACAAGAAAATTGATGGTGAAGGTATGCCCACCATCTGCTTGATCAAATTCCGCGCGCGATGCCTCGTTTTGCTGGGCAAACTTACCATCTTTAGACCTGGATCCTAAACCTTATATCTATCTCTACACTTGATCATTTGAGATGATTCTTGAATAAAAAGTGAAGAAAAAGTTTCAAACTCCAATTTTGATGTTAACAACTTTTTGATTTGAGCTCAAATGGACATTTTAAATTAGTCATGAAGAAATCAGGTCTTGTGCACATATTTAGAAATTTCACTAAGTGTCCAGAATTTTCCAAGCTCAATAACTTTTTCTCCTTTCACTTTTTGAACTTTTTGTGTCAAGTACAAAATTTAAGAACATTTCCTTCTCTTTCCAACCATATAAAATTTGTACATCTTTAACAAAAATTGAGAAAGTTATGATCAATCAAAGTTCAACACTATGAACACTTAAAAAAATTCAAAACTTTAGGTAACTTATTTGACAAGTTATTTCTAATTCAACACTTCCTCTTGATCTTATGCCACCATTGACCATGAAATATGAAAATAGGGACATTGAATTCATGTCTGACCAAAAGTCCACTTGGTCTACTTTGATTTTGGTTGACTTTAGTCAAAAATAATTGTTTTGCCCCTTTTGATCAATTGAACATTTTCCAATCAAAATTGATGATCAATCCTCCAATCATAGATGCTCATGAACATGTAGAGAAGCATGGAATCAAGTCTTGCCCAAAAAGTCAGAGATTTCTCAATTAAACTCAAAACCCTAGCTTTGACCCTCTGTGCTAGGAGATAGTGAGATGACTGTAATTGTGTCATCACCTATAATATGAACATTCAAAGATCCATATATACATAATTTGATGTTAGTTAAAAGAACATATGTACAAGATACACAATTCAAGATGTTTGGTGATCCCTCAAGAGAAAACTTAAAGATGAGATAAAGTAGAAAGAGAGAGTCAACCCTAATATGTGATCTTGATGTATTATAAAAATGAGATGATGAGAAATTCTTAGGGGGAAAAATTGGGGTATAACACTTAGTGTCCCAGGGAGGAAGAGTGGAGTCGGTTAGAGAAGTTAAAGACGAGGTTCATATATACTTTGCCGAAAACTTCTAGGAACTTAATCTTGTTAGACTAATTATTGAAGGAGTTGCTTTTAAATCCTTGTTGAGTTTGGAGTGGGATAATTTACAGGTTCCATTTTCGGATGTTGAAGTGAAGGAGGTGTGGGGTTGAGATGGTTCCAAGAGTCTGAGGCCAAATGGTTATAATTTCCACTTTATTCAGAAATGTTGGTCTTTCATCAAAGGGGATTTTATTCGTTTCTTCAATAATTCCAGGCCACCAGTAAGTTTGCTAAAGCTATTTCCTCGTCATTTTTACGCTAATTCCGAAAAACAAATTTCCAAAGGGATTGGAAGGATATAGGCCAATTTTCTTGGTTGGTTGTTTGTATAAGGCTACTTCTAAACTTCTAGCGACTAGATTGAAAAGGTGTTGTACAAGTTGGTTTTGCCATGTCAAAGTGCCTTTGTTCGGGTAGGCAATTGTTAGATGGAGTAATGGCCAATGAGGTGGTGGATTTTGCTTTGAAGGAAAAGAGGATTTACTTGCTTTTCAAAGTTGATTTCGAAAAAGCATACAACAAGGTGAGTTAGAACTATCTAAAGTTTGTTATAGGAAGAATGTGATTTAAGGAGAGGTGGCTAAGGTGGATGGACGCAACGCTTTTTACTTGTTTTATGTCCATTTTGGTGAATGGTAGTCAGTCGAAGGAGTTTAAGGTGGGAAGGGGATTGAGGAAGGGCGGTCCGTTATTGCCTTTTTTGTTCGATCTTGTGGCAGAAGGTTTAACAGGGTTGGTTAGAAATGCAAAATATCTCAGGATTTATTCTAGTCTCTAATTTGTGGATGAAAGTTTGCTAGTAGGGGAGGGAGGTTAGAATTATTTATGGGCTCTAAAATAGGTTCTTAGAGGTTTTGAAGAAGTTTCAGGTCTTGGAGTTAATTATCACAGGAGCAAGTTGATTGGTATTAACATTAATATTCATCAACTTAATACGGCTACTAATTTTCTTTCTTGCAAGATTGAAGGGAGCTCCTTTAAGTTTCTTGGTATCCAAATTGGGACTAAGTCGAGGCGTATTGTGTCGTGGCATTCGTTGATAGATAAGTTGAAGGTGCAGTTGTCTACTTGGACGGATATATTCCTTCACCTTGGAGGGACAATTACTTTGTTAAAATATGTGCTTAGTATTCTATCCATATTTCAATTATCTTTTTATAGAGCTACAGCTACGATTTGTAAAGAAATTGGGAAGATTCAAAGTAACTTTCAATGGGGGAGGTTTACGTGATAAAAGGAGTATTCATTGGGTCACTTAGGAGAATGTTTGTTTTCCGATTAGTAAGGGTGGGTTAGGATTGGAAATTATAGAGGAATTCAATATTGCCCTTTTATCAAAGTGAAAGTGGAGGATTTTATAAGGAGAGGAACGTTATGGATGGATGTTATTAGAGCTCGGTATAGTGACTTAAACAGTCACATCCTTTCGGAAGTGAGCAAAAGGGGCGGGGGATCTAAGTTGTTGTGGTGGAAGGATTTGGTTTCGTTGGGGAAGAGGAATCAAACATATTTTCTCGGTAAAAATTGTCATTTTTCTTTGGGTTGTGGTTTGGCAATCCCTTTTTGGCACGCGAGGTGGGTCAGAAATATGATTTTGAAGGACGAATTCCTAACTGTTTACAGTAGTAACAACCAAAAGTTTGCTACTGTTATAGAGATGGGTACCAGAATTGGTGATATATGGTATTAGGGAGATTTCGGGTTATCATGGCCAAATTTTTTGTCTCTATTCTGTGATGTTCAGGGGCTGTTGCGGGTTCTGCAGGCTGGAACTGCAGACCGCGTGCAGTGGCTGCTAGACCCGTAGGAGGGGTTCTCGGCTAGTGATGGGTATAAATATCAGTTCTTCAACTCGAGTGCGGTACTGTATGCGAATGTTTCTGAAATGGATTTTTAAATCTATGTGGTAATCTAAAGTTTCTTTTCTAATTAAGACTTTTGGATGAAGAAGTTTATTGAACATGTTAGCTTCGAAGGACCAATTATTTCAACGGGGAATATTTGCCTCTCCTTCCGATCTCAATTGCATTTTTTGTTCTGAAGTTAACGAGAATTTGGATCACTTATTACTGTCTTGTTCCGTTTCTAAAACAGTGTGGCCAATTATTGAGAATTGGGTGAGTAAGTCAACTTTGGATCATGAAGATATTTGTGGTAGCTTCTTAGATTGGAATGATTTTTCATATCCAGGAAGGTGAGAATTGGTAAAGAAAATGCGGTTTGGTTGGCCGCCACATGGTCTTTGTGGAGGGCTAGTTATGGTGTTTAACAACGACAGGAGTAATTTGTCGGACATTGTTTGCGGCATCAAAGTGCTGGTTTGGAAGTTGTCCTTTACAAGAGAAACTTCTTTTTCTAATTGTAATTTTTATAAATTTAACAAAATTCATTTACTTTATTTAGCTTAAATTGCATTTGAATAGAAATCTTACCTTCTCTCGAAAATTATCTGGTTTTTGTAATTGAGATAGGTACCCTAAATACTCTTTTCAATTTATCTTGCTTACCAAAAAAAGAGTTAAATATTATTATGTGTGTCTATTTGATTTTGCTTAATTTTACCATCATTAAAAACCAGTTTGTTATTTTGTATGATGAATATGTAGATTTAATATTTTAAAATAAATGTTTTTAATTTACATGAACAATTATATAAATAATATTTTAGTTTTATAGAGAAATATATAATAAAAATAAATATTATAATTTTGGCTATAATTTTATAAGTTAAAATATTTTTAATTAATAATGATTGTGTTTTTAGAAAATAGATATAATTTTTTTTAATTTCCCAAAAAATTAACCATGTATTAAATTATATAAAAAAATTCTTTTAAAATGTATAGGTAAGAATTAGAAAATTTATACCATTACAACATGTTTCCAACTATTTTTATATTATAGTATATAATATATAATTTGATATATTATTGAGGGTTAATGATTTGGGTTGAGAAAATGGAGAAAGAAGATGAAAAAATATTTTCATAAATGAAATAGAAGAGTTATAAAATGTGAACATCAATACGTAAGAAAAATAACATGAGATTTTTTAAAAGTGTCACATGACTTTTTTTAATAGATAGCATTTGCATTTAAATAGATGACGTTTCAAATGAATAAGAACACAATTTGAGATTTATAGTTAATATATATATATATATATATATATATATATATATATGGAGACATATTTAGTGAGATAATCTGAGAATGAGATGAATAAATCTTGTTGTTATTAGATTTAATTTAATACACATGATAAGGATTAAAACATAAACTCATGTGACTTTTCAAGTGGTCTTGTTCAAAACTTTAAATCCTGTCCCTCCATGTATGACAATACAACCAAGATTTTGGCATAATCTATTTTAAGAGTAAGAAATAAAAATTCAATTACTGAAGTTAATATATCCATGTAACAACAAAAAAGGACATTTTCTAATCCATACTCACTATAATTACCACTTACTTAACAATTCAATTCCAAATTTAGTCAATTTACTAAATTTCACCTAATGCTATTAGCCAAGTTTAGAACATTAAACCTTAGCCGTTGTTTTTACAATGGATCTCCATCTTTTTTTCCGTTTTACTAGGTGAAAAAATGTATGCCACAATGAGTATATAAAGAATCAAGATCACACTTGAGAAGATAGACCTAGGCCTAGCCCTACAAGACAGGGCATTTGGAAGGACTATTGGGACAAATACGAATTGTATTTTATATACAAATATGGCAAGTCCCGACCAAATGCAGAGGTTTTCACTTCTTGGTGTCTCATGCATACTTCTTGTCGCCGTGGTCGCCGCTGCAGGCGGAGAAGGACAACAGAATGCTGGCAAGCTTTGTGAATCAATGCAGTACCAAGAAGCATGCCACAAGAGTCTTGAGAAGGCGTCCGGCCAAACGACCGATGTTAAAGAGCTTTTGAAAGCCGCATTTAATGCAACATCAGCGGAGTTGGTGAAACATATTAACAATTCATCTCTCTATCATGAGTTGGTGAAGGACAACAGGACAAAACAAGCAGTGGAAGTTTGCAATGAGGTTTTGAATTATGCTGTCGACGGAATCTCTAAATCGGTTGGTAAAATCGACAACTTTGATATCAATAAGTTGAATGAATATGGTTATGATCTCAAAGTTTGGTTAACCGGTACACTTTCGCATCAACATACATGTCTGGATGGCTTCGAGAATTCAACAACGACAGCAGGTGAAACAATGGCTAAGATTTTGAATGCTTCTTTGCAATTAACTAGCAATGCTATTGACATGATTAATGTTGCTTCTGGAATGGCTAAGGGTCTTGGCGAAAACACCAATACTGGTAAAAGGAATCTTTTGTCTCTTGAATCGGAGAAACTTGTCGATGGTTTTCCTTCATGGGTTAGCGAAGGACAAAGACGCCTTCTCGCCGATGAAACCGTTAAGCCAAATGCTGTTGTCGCGCAAGACGGTAGTGGACAGTTTAAGACAGTTGCTGATGCTCTTAAGACTGTTCCTGCCAATAATGCACAACCTTTTGTCATTCATGTTAAGGAAGGTGTTTATAAGGAGAATGTTAATGTTGCTTTGGAACAGAATTTTGTTACCATCATCGGCGATGGTCCTACCAAGACCAAATTCACTGGTAGCCTCAACTTTGTCGATGGTTTAGTTGCTTACAACACCGCAACCTTCGGTGAGTACCAAACATTTCATGCTAACATGTTTTTATTTTTACTAAAACAAAAGACTGATATATTTTGAGGTTCAGTTTAACGCTGAAAATACCAAAAATACTAACATTTATCGATGATGTTTTTTAGAATTGCGACCGAAAGTATTACTTAGAGTGCGCGATTTAATTGATTTGGACTTGCCTTATTGCAGGTGTAAATGGTGCAAACTTCATGGCAAAGGATGTTGGATTCGAGAACACAGCCGGACCAGAAAAACGTCAGGCAGTAGCACTCCGAGTAACAGCAGACAAAGCAGTCTTCTACAACTGTCAAATGGACGGTTTCCAAGCCACACTCTTCGCGGAATCCCAACGCCAATTCTACCGTGACTGCACCATCTCAGGCACAATCGACTCCATCTTCGGCGACGCCATTGGAGTTTTCCAAAACTGCAAACTAGTCGTTAGGAAACCAGCTGAAGAGCAAGAATGTACCGTAACAGCAAGTGGTAGAGTCAAATCCGACAGCCCAAGCGGTCTCATTTTCCAAACCTGTCACTTCACAGGTGAACCAGAATTAGCATCAATGACACCCAAAATCTCTTACCTCGGAAGACCATGGAAGGCATACGCGAGAGTCGTCATAATGGACTCAACCATCGATGACATTTTCGTCCCTGATGGTTACATGCCATGGATGGGAACTGTTTTCATCGACACATGTACTTTTTACGAGTATAACAATAAAGGTCCAGGTGCTGACACAAAAGGAAGAGTTAAGTGGCCCGGTGTCAAAACTATATCCGCGACCGAAGCAGCTGATTTCTACGCTGGAAAATTCTTTGAGATTGCTAATTCAACCGATCGCGATTCTTGGATTGTGAAGTCTGGTGTTCCGTATTCACTTGATCCTTCACATTCTAGCAGTGGCGGCGGTAAGTCCGAGCCCGGAAGTAATAATTCGGAGGCTGGCAGTCATTCCGGAGCTACAAGAAGGGAGACATTTTACAACGGCTTTTTCATAGCTGCTGTGTATTTGTTGGCAAATATTTGGATGTAATAAAGATAGCATAGCAAATTGCTGTTTTTCACCATAAGTAAATGTTTTGCTGATTCATGTGAATGTGGTAGCCAATGATTTTCAATCATGAATATTCCAATTCATTACATTTTTGATCATTGATATTTTCAATCTTATATTTATAGTTGAAATTATTTTGAAATGCTCATTCCATCTTATGGTATTCGCCCGACAAATTGAAAATCTAAAATTATCCTTATTAGTGTTTAGAGATGTATTTTTGAACATATATAAAATCACACCGGCCTTCATAATTCAACCACACACTCCATTTTGCCAAAATATAGTACATAAATGTATCTCGTAAATTTTTTGGGATGAATCTAAAGAAGTATCTCTATAAAATCTCCTGAATACATTTTAAGTTATTGAAAGCGTGTTTATTGCACATAACATGAGACATTTTAGAGATGCATATCTGAAAAGCCCTCTAAATATTGTCTAGGCAACTACATTGTCCTAACTTTGACATTTTTTTAGGCCAACTTTTATTTTAGGTCATAAATTAAAAAACACATACATTAACTCATTCAAACATACTACATATACATTAAAAAAAATCATACATTAATTAAAGTAAATTCAAAATATACTGGCCATACATAACTTGTTCCGAAAATACAAAATACAATACAAACAAATATAAACTACTAAGTATGTCTAATCCCTCAGCTTCTCTGTATGTACTGCAAGGCATTCCCTGTCTCGGTAATAATGTCATCTACAAAGGCCTAATAGGGATTTCCTTCCTAAAAAAGTCATGCCTCTATGCATGATCTCGCTATATCCATAATACGTCGACAAGCACTGCTTACGTCCTGGGTGCGATCATCCATAGCCTTCGGTACCTCTTAATTAGATGGCCTAGGTGGTCTTCTAGGAGCGTCTGGTGTCATTATAGGATGTGACACCCTATAGAACCATGTGATGTAGCCGTCTACATAAACCCATTTTATAGGAGCTGGCACCCTGTGATAGTCCTCTAGTACCAAATAACTTTCGTGATCCTCAAGTATGGCATTAAGATCTCTGTGCTGGACGCTGGGAGGAGTAGACTTTGAGGGATATCTCAGAATAAACTACAAATACCCAAACCGGCGCATCACTCGCTCGAGCATATAAACATACATCAGACCTGACCCATAAGCCATACATCCGGAGTATAACGAAATAACGTCCAGCTGACGCGTCTGACGGTGACTGTCGTATGGGCAGAAGGCAATGTCATTTGCTAGAGTGCAGTCAATATACACCCGGAAGGGCTCGATCGCCTTATTCCCTCTGTACGTAGAAAAGGAGGCATCACATGGCCAATCCTCAATGTAGTCAGGCACAAGTTCCCATCTAGAAATGCAAGGAAAGTGAGAGATGTTCCATCCCTGAAAAAGGTTTAGATAAATATTAGTAACAACTATAACAAACGAGTTATGAAAATATTAGTATAGTAAATTACTGTAAGCAGTGTGTAGCTTCATGTCAACTACTTTGTCTTCCAAAGACAATCTTCACACCCCAAAACACCCGCCATGAATAGACCTGATGCGAGGTTCTTCACCTACATAATATTCCCACACCACCCTCTCTGAAGGAGGATGTAATGGGTCTTGAACCATGAAGATGATGCAAGTTTCACAAAGTCAAGGGATACCATAATGAAGATTGCTACCAACTCAAGAAAGAAATCGAGAGACTAATCGAAAAGGGACACCTCAAGAAATATGTGAAGGGCTACTCTTCTTGTGGGTTAGACAAGTCCAAATCGTGAGGGCGAGATGACATAGGAACCCCAGGACCAACAAAGAAAAAGAGTCATCTAAGGACGAGGGCAGTAAAGTTGTGTGCCACATGCTCATCACCATAACAGAAGCATTCATCGGGGGCGAAGAGATTGACTCTACCCATAGAAGGTACGCTCGCCAAATCCTGAATATAGAAGACTTCCCTGACTTTAAAGGCGAAGGAAAAACCCAAGAGCCAGAAACCACAATCGCCTTCTCTGAGAAAGATGCAATTGACATCCTTCCACAAAATGATGATCTCGTGTCATTATCACCAGATGCGACAAATGGGGGATCAAAAGAGTCCTCGTAGACCAAGGATATTTTGTAGACATTCTATCTTTGGAGGCGCTCGAAAGAATTTGCCTCGACCCATAGGACTTAAAACCCTTCAAAAGTTTGATGGTTGGATTCTCTAAGGAATAGGTACAAGTAAAAAGATACATCACACTGAAGACCATTTTTGGATAGCAGTACCAAGCCAAAGAAATAAAGGTCATGTATTTGGTTATTTACGCCCCTTTTCTTACAATATGATTATAGGACGACCATATTTTTACCAACGGAGAGCCGCCTTATCCACTATGTATTTATGCATTAAGTAACCACCCTCGAATGGGCGAGTGTGAGTAATCCAAAGAGTCAGGAGATCGGCAAAAAATGTTACATAGAGAGTCTCAAGCTGAAAAGGATCCTCACATTAGGCGCGAAATCCAAGAAAACAGGCTCAGGAATAAAGCCTCCAAGAGGAACCACAAGGTCGATGATGCTCCCCTTCCAACTAGCAAGGAAATCGAAGATTGAAGGCCAAGAAATAATTCCCTCTAGAGCCACTTGAACTGCTATCATTTATTTGTCTTTCTTTACCATTGTTTAGCTATTTCGTGGTTGACTTTTATAGGCGAGTATTATGTCTCTACCGATTGTAATAACAAGTTATTTTGTGAGGTGAACTATTTTCCCTTCGCGCTTTGCACATGGAAAGGATTTTTAATGAGGCCCCTCATTTTATTATCTTAGCTAATCTATGTTTGCTAGCTACCTCTTCTTTGTAGGAAACCTAAAAGCTTGAAAGAAGATTATCCAATAGAGGCGATCAAAATGTCGGATCCCTAAGCGGAATCCTTGGTCCCCATATACACGATCAAAATGATAGATCCCTAAGTTCGATTCTAGTCATCAGGCTTCAGCGTATGATCTGGTAACTTCAGTGTGTAGCACATGTTTGATCTTCTTTGTCGCCTTTAACATCCCAACTTTAATTATTTATTTTTAATTAAATTTATATTAATTTATTTAATTGATTTGAATAATATATGTGTTTTATTAGAATTATTGTTATTGATTTATATTTAATTAATGTAAGAAATAATAGAATTATTAATTTAATCAAGATACTTGAGTTAATTAGAATAATTAGATAATAATATTAATTTAATTTAATTAGAGTATTATAACAATTAAAATAAAATTATAGAAATATATTAGAAAATAAAAATTTAAGTGAGGGTGTGAAGTGAGTTGATGGGTGAGAAGAGAATAAGGGAACTAGGGTAAAATAAATAGATAAGTGAGGTAGAATTTTTTCAGATTGTGAAATTGAGAAAAGTTAGGAAAAAAGGTAAAGAAGCAGAAGCTAGAGCAATCATAGGAAGGAAGAGAGATGTAGATCTCAAAATCCAAGAGTTCAATGATCTGCAATTTTTTGAGGTAGAGGGACTATTCACATATAGGTGTTTAGACAGTCGAATAGTGAGGGATCCTTACCCTATTATCTTCCTCTTCTTCTTCCTCTTCTTCTTCTTCTTCTTCTTCTTCTTCTTCTTCTTCTTCTTCTTCTTCTTCTTCTTCTCATTCTGAGTTTGTGTTGTATGTTTGTGGCCAAAAAAGGGTTTGCGCAAAACCCTTTGAGGCAACAATTGATATGTTTCTCTTTATTTTGATGAAATATGAATTGTTTTGCCTTGTTGATTGCATTTTTGGTATATGATAATCTGTGGTTGATCCCTTGAGACAAAATTTTAATAATTTGATTATGATATAATTCATCTGTGGCTGTTTATATGTGTTTTTGGTCGTTGGATTCCAATGGGTGAAAAGGGTCAGTAGATTGTAAAAACTGAAAAAGCCACGACAAATTCCAACTAGCATTTTTTTCAACGGCAGCGATTCCGCGCCAAATCAGCAAAAGTGGCACGCGATCGACACATAGGTGCGAGGTCGCTCCGTATAACAATGATGAGTTGCAGATGCCGCGGCGTGGTGGAAAAGTTGTAGTTTACAGCATGCGTACGCGGGGATTTACGCAGTAACATTCATGCAGATCGACGCTTGGAACGGACTGCGACACGACGACACACAAGGAGGGTTGGCGGGTGGTAGATCGAAGTTTTCGGGTTCATTGTCCAGTTCTACGAGTTTTCAACAATTTTGAGTTTGATGACTTTTCATTGCCTTTTAATAAGTTTAAGAATCAGATTTGTTATGTGGGAGTTTGATAAAGTTGTTTTTGAGTTAGTTAGAGTTGTTTTTGAGTTAATTAGAGTTGTTTTAGAGTTTCCTTTTGAACTCTAACATGTTTCAAGTTGACTCTATTAATCCTGTAAAGATTGTGGAATCAAGGTAATAAAAATTTGATCAGACTGACTGGTTTAACCGATTAAACTGGTAACCAGACCTAACTCTGGTCCATTGATGTTTGATAACCACACTCAAACTAAAAACTAGAAGAAAAAACGGTAAATCAGGAAAAAACCGATGCAACCGGACAAAACCGATGGTTTACACGATTTAAGATATTTGACTGTAATTTCTTTTTTAGGATAGAGATGATTCGAGTCTAAAGAAGAAGAAAGAGTCTATAAAAAAGGATTAAGAGGGAAGTAATTGTATTTAGCAAATGTTGTACCCCAAAATTTGCCCTCCCCTTTTTCACAAGAAATCACAGCTTTGGGGTTTTCCCTGATTTTTCAGATTGGCTTAAGAATAGGTCAGACAGATTTTTCTTTATCAGTCAATCCAAAATTAGGGTTTCTATTGATTTTGAATCAGTCAAACAAAATTAGGGTTTCCATTGATTTTGAATCAGTCAAACAAAATTAGGGTTTCCATTGATTTTGAATCAGTCAAACAAAATTAGGGTTTCCATTGATTTTGAATTAGTTAAATAGATTATTAGGGTTTCTATTGATTTGGTTGAGT